CACCGATAAAGTGAGACTCTGTCTCTACAAAAAACAAAAACAAAAAACCACATGCTCACTTTATGTCTGTAGGAGAGCTATAATTGTACTTCTTTTTGAAAACTGTCTTTGGCTTGGTGCCTGTAGCACAGTGGTTCTACAAGCATCGAGGCTGGCAGGTTTGAGCCCGGACTGGGGCTCAATAATGACAATAATGACAACTGCAACAAGAAAATAGCGGGGTGTTGTGATGGGTGCCTATAGTCCCAGCTACTTGGGAGGCTGAGGCAAGAGAATCGCTTAAGCCCAAGAGTTTGAGGTTGCTGTGAGCTGTGATGTCACAGCATTCTACTGAGGGTGACATAGTGAGACTCTGTCTCAGAAAAGAAAGAAAGAAGGAAAGAAAGAAAGAAAGACAATTATCTTTTAATAACAAAAATAACCAAAACATAAAACTGATGCGCTGACTTAATTTGGGATTGACACCTCACAGGGACCAAGTGGGAGATGCATATCCTGCAGTGGCTGTGGAGTATGAAGAGCCAGGCCCCTCCTCAAGGGGTGGGTGGCAGCTCAGCTTCAATGGCCTCTTGCCCTGTGTGTGTTTGCAGATCCTGTGATTTTTTTCAGGAAAAGCTGGACATCCATAATTTAATGAGAAATTAACTTTTAATATTATACCTTAGCAACTATGTAAAATTTTCTAAGAAATATCATCTAGACAAACAAATCACCTTTGAGGCTTGCATCACTTGTGATCTCTACATGTGACCCACATGCCTACTTCATACATATTTGAGTTGGTTAGTACTCTTTACAGTCAGGGCACATATACACACACTACCACCACCACCACCACGGCCACCACGACCACCACCACCACCACCACCACCACTACCACCAGCCTTAGGATACATGCTTGGTCCCCAATTACATTCACCCCACCATACACAAGCATAGCTGGTAGGTCATTCTGGGCCATATTATTCCAAAGCCCAGACCCAATTACTCCTCCAGGAAGCCCATTGCCATTAATAGTAAAGTGGTAACAATGTCCAGTTTTCTAAACCATCACTTCTAAAACCCAGGTTTTTAAGGACAATAGCCTTGTCTTAGTAATTGCTACTTTTTAATGCATGCGTGCACCTATTTATGTATGCCAGATGCTTTATATCACCGCGTGTCAACCTTAGCCACACATTTGAATCACTTGGCATTTTTTAAAAAAAGTACTAATAGGCTCGGCGCCTATAGCTCAACCGGCTAAGGCGCCAGCCAC